TGTGGCCACACCTGTGTGTCCGTGGGCTGCCAGCCTGTGTCTGGCACTTTGGCCACACCTGTGTGTCCCGTGGGCCGCCAGCCGATGTCCGGCCCTGGGGCTGCACCTGTGTGTCTGTGGGCCGCGAGCCGGTGTCCGGCGCTGTGGCCACACCTGTGTGTCCCATGGGCCGCCAGCCAGTGTCCGGCACTGTGGCCACACTTGTGTGTCCGTGGGCCGCCAGCCTGTGTCCGGCGCTGTGGCCGCACCTGTGTGTCCTGTGGGCCGCCAGCTGGTGTCTGGCGCTGTGGCCACACCTGTGTGTCAGTGGGCCGCCAGCTGGTGTCCGGCGCTATGGCTGCACCTGTGTGTCCCGTGGGCCGCCAGCCCGTGTCCGGCGCTATGGCCACACCTGTGTGTCCGTGGTCCACCAGCCCGTGTCCAGCGCTGTGGCCACACCTCTGTGTCCGTGGGCTGCCAGCCGGTATCCAGCCCCTTTGCGGATCTTCCGTTCTCCTCTCCTGTTCCTTGGACACGGGTGGCCCTTGCCTCCTCCCTCTTTGGGGCAGCTCCGTCACTGCTGTGGTCTCCGCTGTGAGGTGGGGCAGGACCTGAAAGGGGGGTTTCCAAGCGAGGGTCCTGGGCCCACCCAAGTCGTCCGATAGTGGGTCTGATAAGCCAGGAGATGTGTGAGCCAAAGAACGTCACCCAACCTGTCTGTGCCTCGACTTCCCCATCTGTAAAATGGGGCAAGGGCTGAACTTCCTGGTGACCAGCACAAGTGCATTAACACAGATGGACTTGGAGTGGCACCTCTGCGTTCTAACCAGAAGCAGCCTTAGACACTGTACCAAGGGATGCGTATGCTGTGTTCCACCAGAACTTTCTGTACACACGTGGTGGCGGCCGGCCCCGACCCATCTCCTTCCTTCTTGGCTCTCAGAGCGAGTCTCCTGTGCCTCCAGGAGACAGCTCCGGTTCTTCCCTCTGAGCCGGGCACTTTGCATTCCCAGAGCGGGTGTGGGGAGTGGCAAGGAGGGGACCAAGGACAGGGCCCACCTCCTGGGTGGTTTTGGGAGCTGCCCCAGCCCCCGGCCATCTCCTGGGAGGTTCTGGAAGCTTCTGGCAGCCCCTGGCTGCTTCTGTTCCTCCCCTTCCCAAGTCTGTTGGATAGTGGCGGTTCCCAGGGGTAGGGTCAGGGACTGGATCCAGCTGCAGTCAACATCTCACCTGGTTCCTGAGGCCAGAGCTGGTTGTTGGTGAATCCGTTTTTACTGGCATTCTTCACATTTGCATAGTTGATTAAGTATCGCGGACAGGCAGGTGCGGTGGTGCACACCTGTAATCCCAGCACTTTGAGAGGCTGAGGCTGGAGGGTCACTTAAGGCCAGGGGTTCGAGACCAGCCTGGGAAATATCTCGAGACCCCATCTCTACACAACATTTAAAAATTGGCTGGCATTTAAAGATTCACAGGTGCGAGCCTGTGGTCCCAGCTTCTCAAGAAGCTGAAGCGGGAGGATTGCAGTGAGCCATGCTCGCGCCATTGCATTCCAGCCCGGGTGACAGCGGGATCCCATCTCAAAAAAAACAGCTCTGAGGTGCCTCCTGCCTCCTGCCTGGGCTCTGGTCGATCCTCTCCCTTTGAGTGTGGTGAATGCAAACGTGGGAGGAGCATGGTGAGTGTGGCTGCCGGGACACGGGGGGCAGCCCCAGCCCCCACCAGGCCACACTTCCCAGCATCCCTTGGGGTTGGGACTGCACATGACACCAAGAGGCTATGGGTGAAGCCACATGCGCCCCCCTGGCCTGGCCTCAAGCTCCTGCCTGAGAGCCTCTACGCAGAATGGCGCCTGCGGGGCACCCACGTAGGCCGAGCCTGTGAGGAGAGGAGCAGGCTCAGTGCGTGCTCAGCCGTGGGTGCTCAGCCGTGGGTGCTCAGCCGTGGGTGCCCAGCCGTGGGTGCTCAGCCGTGGGTGCAGGTTTTTTGTCCCAGCAGCTGCTCAGCCTCTGCCACGCAGAGTTGCCTTCAGAGTGAATCGACACCAGATCGTCTGGGTGGGTTTTTGCTCTGAAGAAATGTCAAAAGTAGCATTAAGGTTTTATCTGTACACACAAACCCGTGATTGTGGCTTAAGCAGTTGCAAATTAAATAAATTTCTTCCTCAGCATGCTGCCTGGGTCCCAGGCCTCGGGCAGAGAGAAACGGCTTTCACCACAGTTCCCGAGATGGGTTTTTCTCTGGAGAGGAAAGGAAGCAGCCTGCGCCTCTCCTCTCTGTGTTTAAATGTCCTCCAAATTCTCTCAGCTTCCTGAGGCATTTTATTACTACATTTCTCTAGAATTCCTGATTTCTTTATTTTCTCTGCAAGAGGCCCTGTCCTGTGGGCTGTGATCAAGTGACGAATCCACAGCAGCGGAGGAGGCCCTTCTGGGCGCATGCAGCAGTGCTATTGGGTGACCATGTTCCCTCTCGGGGTGGGGGGTAAGGTTGGAAGGGACCAGCGCCCATTGGAGCGTGTAACTCTCAGTGGCGAAAAATCTGCAGTGAGATCACCCAAAGGGTTTTTGTGTTTTTCGTATTTTTATTTTTTATTTTTTATTTTTTTTTTGAGACGGAGTTTCGCTCGTGTTACCCAGGCTGGAGTGCAATGGCGCGATCTCGGCTCACCGCAACCTCCGCCTCCTGGGTTCAGACAATTCTCCTGCCTCAGCCTCCGGAGTAGCTGGGATTACAGGCACGCGCCACCATGCTCAGCTAATTTTTTGCACCATTAGTAGAGACGGGGTTTCACCATGTTGACCAGGATGGTCTCGATCTCTCGACCTCGTGATCCACCCGCCTCGGCCTCCCAAAGTGCTGGGATTACAGGCATGAGCCACCGCGCCCGGCCGTATTTTTATTTTTTGAGACGGAGTCTCGCTCTGTCACCCAGGCTGGAGTGCGGTGATGCTGTCTCAGCTCACTGTACCCTCCACTTCCCTGGTTCAAGCAGTTCTCCTGTCTCCTGAGTAGCTGGGATCACAGGCACACACCACCAACCCCGGCTAATTTTTGTATCTTTAGTAGAGAAGGGTTTCACAGTGTTGGCCAGGCTGGTCTTGAACTCCTGACCTCAAGTGATCTGCCCCCTCCCTCAGCCTCCCAGAGTGCTGGGATTACAGGTGTGAACCACTGCACCTGGCTACTCTAAGGGTTTTGAATAAATTCTTTCTTAATTAGCTGGGCGTGGTGGCGCGTGCCACCCAGTAGCTGTAATCCCAGCTACTCAGGAGGCTGAGGCAGGAGAATTGCCTGAGCCCAGGAGGCGGAGGTTGCGGTGAGCCGGGTCGCGCCATTGCACTCCAGCCTGGGTAACAAGGGCGAAACTCCGTCTCAAAAAAAAAAAAAAAAAAAAAAAAAAAAAAAAAAAAATTCTTTCTTAAAAGAAAGAGTTTGCCGAACTCTTAGGTCTTGAGTGACCTCCAGGGGTCAGCGGCCTTCACAGAGCCTCCTTCCCCGTGGGGTTGGCATTACTGAACCGGTTCCTCCGCAGAGGCGTCGAGGCCGGTTCCCGGCACACCGAGGGCTGCTCTGTCACGCCGTTTTGTTTATACCGAGGATTGGCAAACGTTTCTTTAGGAGCCCAGTGATAGGCATTTTCGGCTTTGCAGGCCACAGGCTCTCTTTTAGTGACTCCCTCTGCCACGATGGCCCAAAAGTAACCACAGATAGGTGGTGTGCAAATGAGCATGGCTTTGTACCAATAAAACTTTATTTACAAAACAGGCAACAGTGGACCAGCGAGTCCCCAAGAGCGAGGGCAAGGTTACCAGAGAATTTCCAGGCGCGCCCATTGGAGGCAGGGGAGACAAAGGCGAGGGCTGGAGCCTTGAGCTGCTCCCCACAGGCACGGACGCCGTTGGCCAGGTGGATGCCTCCAGCTCCTCACTCGGTGCCCAGGGCTCTTTTGATGTTTAGGAGTTTGTTTCTAATCGGAAACTTCACGGATGATTTGCAGCCGTTCACAGGCTCTGTGTAAACTGCCCTCTGTCCTCTCTGGCGTAATCCCGGGAGCTCGTGGAGGGCAGGAGCGGGGACAGGTGCCTTGAGGTGTAACAGCTTGTGTGGGATCGAGGGGAACGGGCAGATTCACTACACGCCTCCCTCGTCTGCTCCCCGCTCAACGAGGGGCAGCCAGGAGCAGCTGGTCTGAGGCAGATAAACAATTCAGGTGCTGGAGGAGCTGCTGGCCTAGAAACCCGAGAGGTTCCCGACACAGGGTGTTTCTGGGAGACTGCGAATTTAATTTTGAAAACTGAAAGACCCTAATAGAAAAGAAACCACGTGGCTCAGTCCCTGAGACAGGAGCGCCTGCATGGTCCTGACAACATCCACAGATATCTTAAAATCCTACCATCATGTCCGCGAAACTGGGATGCCACTTCCTGCCTGCCTCTCCCTGACCCCAGCCTGTCTGCTCAGAGGACCCCTCAGCCCTCCCGCGGGGACAGGCTGGGGTCAGGGAGAGGCAGGCAGGAAGTGGCATCCCAGTTTCGCGGACATGATGAAGCCAGGCCTTGAGACCACCCCACCCCGGGCCTGCAGGGCTGTCCCCAGGCAGGGAATTACCTCAGTCACTCCAGCCTGTGGCAGATCCTGTCCCAGCCCCCGGCTCTGGTCCAAGCCACCTCCACTCCTACCTGGTGACAGGCCACCTCCTTCACTCTGGGGCCCACCCATACTTCGCTCCCCAGCTCCGCACAGCACGGTGGCCAAGAGCAGAGGCCGTCCAGGCCCCGTCTGACTCCCTCACCTGCCCACCGTGCAAGCCGCCCTGCAGCCCATCCCTGCCAGACCCTTTCTGCCGCCAGGGTGGTCCCGCTGCTTTTAGCTGTCCCAGCCCTCCATGCTCCAGGCCTCTGCAAGATGGAACCTCCGGAAGTGTTCGGACCCATGCAGGCTGCTTCTGTGGGGCATTTGTCTAAGGAGCCCACCGTCTGCCACGGTGACTGCAGCCTCCAGCGCCTCTCTCTCCACAGGCTGTTCCTGGTCATTGAGTACGTCAACGGTGGGGACCTGATGTTCCACATGCAGAGGCAGAGGAAGCTCCCTGAGGAGCACGCCAGGTAGGCGGTCTCAGACGGGGCCCGGTGGCCGAACCCAGAGGGGGCCGGGTGGGCGTTCCTGGAGGGGGCCAGGGACCTTCTCCAGGGGTCAGTGGGGAGCTCAAGGGAGGGAGGTCCGGGGAGGATGGCAGAGGTGCCACGTCCCCCGCAGTGTGACACATTCCACAGTTGCTCCAGAGTCTCAACATTCGGGAGGGTCTCCTGAGTAACGGTGCCTCAGAACCAGTGTCCCTGACCCTGCCCCTGAGGCAGCGCTGTGCCTCATCCAAGACAAGTAGGCTGTCCTGGGACCACGCTGTCTTCACGATGGCTCTGTCCTGGTTCTGCCCTTCGCCCCGTTTGTGTTCACTCAGCATTAGGAGCAGAATGAGAACGGTCTCTTTCTAGAGTGACCTGAGACATTCCTTCCTGCCCTCCCTTTCCTCTCTGATGTCTTCGGGCCTCCCCCGGCAGCCGAGGGGCCTCCAGGATGGTTCGAGGGCTTATTTCAGCTCCTTAACCTTTCGTAGCTTCTGTGGTTTCTCCTTTTCCGCATTTCCTTACTTAAAAACGTTCCGTGCAGTTTTATGAGTCACAGTAGATCCTTCTGGGGACAGTGGGTGATACATTGGAATGGCGCACTTCCCATGACCCTCGCGTTAAAGGTACACACAACGTAAAAGGGCATTTGGGGCGTGGAGTTCAGTGGCGTGGAGCACCCCTCCTGCCCTGCGGAGGCCTCCGTCTCCAGAGCGCCCCCTTCCCTGCTGAAGCTTGGCCGTCACACGCTTCTTCCCGCCCCCCGCATCCTCACCCCAGACGGGCACGTCCCACATTCTGTCCCTCTGATTCGGGACTCTTAGGACTGCGTGGGAACAGGACTCCCTCTCTGTTCCCTGCCCCAGCTCCACGTCCTTGCCCAGGCAGGAGCATCCCATGTTCTTTCTGTCCCTCTGACTCGGGGACTCTAGGGACCTCGTAGGAGTGGGTTCACAGTGTCTGTCATTTGATTTCCCTGAACGTGGCATCCTTGGGGTTCACGCATGCTGTGGCCCGTCTGAGAATTGCCTTCCTTTTTTAGGCTGGACAGTGCCCCTTTGGGTGGAGGGATCACCCTTTGCTTATTCTCCATCCCTCGGGGGCATTCGAGTGGCCTCCATATTGGCCACAGTGAACAGTGCTGCTGTACAAATGGGTATAATCTCTTCAACTGCTTCCAGTTCTTCTGGGTACACACCCAGAAGTAGAGTTGCTAACCACATAATAATTCCATTCTTAGGCTGGGGCGCAGTGGCTCACGCCTGTAATCCCAGGCGCTTTGAGAGGCTGAGGTGGGAGGGTCACTTGAGGTCAGGAGTTCAAGATCAACCCGGCCAACATGGTGAAACCTTGTCTCTACTAAAAATACAAAAATTAGACGGGTGTGGTGGCAGGTGCCTGTAATTCCAGCTACTCAGGAAGCTGAGGCAGGAAAACCGCTTGAACTCGGGAGGTGGAGGTTGCAGTGAGCCAAGATTACGCTGCACTCCAGCCTGGGTGACAGAGCGAGACTCGATCTCAAAATGAATAAATAAATAAATGTGGAATTATTTAATGTTACTATTTAATAACGGTGATCTCCCCACTCCTCTGTGTGTGGAAGCCGCCACGTCGCCCTGTGTCTTGGACAGCAGGCCACCTGAAGGCACGCGGGCTGGTGCCCTGGAGCTTTCGTTGGCATTTCCCTTCCTGGCCCCGTGCAGTGCACTTGGAAATGCTGGGCCTGGTCACTGAGAGGATGCCGGGCCCGTGGTGGGGCAGGCGGGAGCATGTGGCCCCCAGCTGGAGCTGCTGGCACAGCGTCTGGCACAGGCGCTGCCCCATGACGGCGTCCCCGCCCACAGGTTCTACGCGGCCGAGATCTGCATTGCCCTCAACTTCCTGCACGAGAGGGGCATCATCTATCGGGACCTGAAGCTGGACAACGTCCTCCTGGACGCGGACGGGCACATCAAGCTCACGGACTACGGCATGTGCAAGGTGTGTGCCTTGGGGCACCTGCCCACGGGGTCGGTCTGCGGGAACCGCCTCCCGATAACTCTGCCCCCACAGGAAGGCCTGGGCCCTGGAGACACGACGAGCACTTTCTGCGGAACCCCAAACTACATCGCCCCCGAAATCCTGCGGGGAGAGGAGTACGGTGAGTGCTGCTGCCCCGTCCCCTCTCAGAGCATACGGGGTGAGGCGGCTTCGGGCTGGCCCAGCAGCCAGGGAGAGCTTTCCTTGACCGTCTTACACCCAGAATCCACAGCCGTACCTTTTTCCCAGCCGGAAGTCATCATCTGGCCTCAGTCCCTATTTGAATGCTTGAAAACCTCCCGTGTCCACCTGAGCGGCCCCTGGGGGAGGTCACAGGATTCCTCCTACCAAGGAGCCGCAGGGGAACAGGGAAGGGAGAGACGGGGAAGGCAAAGCCAGGCTGGGGCAGGACCCGTGCGGTGCCTGAACCCTGTGCTGTGGCGTGGCGGGCTGGGGGAGAAGCAGGTGTCTGGGGTGCGTGGGGGGAGGTGGGTGCAGGAGCGTGTGGACAGGACCCCACAGCCTCTACAGCTGAGGGTGCCACGCACGCTGAGTGTTTCTGCTCTTCTCCCCTCCCTGGGTGTGAAACGGGGACATGGTGGGCACGCGTGTGCAGTCCTGTGTGTGTGTGCCGGTGTGTTTTGCTGAGTGTTCATGTATGTGATGTGTGTGTGTGTGCACGCGTGTGCCCTGTACACACCCCATCCACTTGTGCATCCTGGAGTTTTCAGTGAGGCGTGTCATGCGCGTGCCTTCACACATTTTTACACATTGTTTTGCTATCACACGGAGGGTGGGGTAGGCAGGGTGGGCAGGTGACTCGCCCCAGGATAGCTGGGCTCCCCAGCTGCCGCATGGAAGTCTCAGTAGCCAGAGGATGACAGACAGCAGACTGGAGGCCTGGAGCGGAGTCTAGAACCCAGCCCAGGACGGGGATCCCGTGTGCGATGGTGGCAGCGTCGCACCTCAGTGGGGAGCAGGTGGACTTCTGGGGACCCGGGGGCGCTGCCATCCTTGGGCACAACTGGGCAGGGTCTCCTACCCTCGTTTACTGAAACATTCCCAGCAGCCTGCTGGAACATCTCCAAAAAGCAAAACGACTGTGGAAGAAGACACGGGAGGATTTCCGTTACTGTAGAGAAGGGCTGCTTCCAGCTTAGTTCTGTAAACGCAGACACGAGGGGCGGGCCGTCTGCAGCTTCCACCAGGGTCTCACGGCTGTGTGGTCACAGGCACCGCAGCAGGACCCACAGCCCAGAGACAGCCTGGGAGACCTCCACGGTGTCAGGGACAGGGAGGAAGATCAGGTGCCCGGGACGGTGGCAGGGAGGCCAGACTGCCGGGCCGAGCTGCCGGTTCTTCCGGGAAGTAGAAGTCACACGCGCCTGTGTGCTGCCCGCTCAGGCCTGGCTCACAGTCATGTTGACTGGGCATGAAAACCAACCCTAGCCGGGCTCACCCTGCCACCGGCCCACGTGGCGCCTGTCAGGTGATGCCGTGTGCTCTCCCCAGGGTTCAGCGTGGACTGGTGGGCGCTGGGCGTCCTCATGTTCGAGATGATGGCCGGGCGCTCCCCGTTCGACATCATCACCGACAACCCGGACATGAACACAGAGGACTACCTTTTCCAAGGTTCGTGCCCGCCTGCGCTCACCCTCACTGCACGGCTGTCTTCCTTCCGTTTCAGAGGCACAGGTGGTGGAGTCCTGGGCTGGGAGTCACAGTGCCACACAGCCCACCGGGGACCATTCCTCCTGGCCGGACCCGGTTACGTGCTGCCCACCGGGCTGTGCACATGGGAGCGTGGCCATGGTTTGGGGTGACTGCACCACACTCGCTCTGGGTCAGCAGGAAGGAGAACCTGTCTCGATTCAGCTCATGCTCTCCCCTGCCCTGGTCAGCAGCACAGCCCCTGCCCCCAAAACCCACAGTCACCATCATGGGCTCCTTCCCAGCTGGAGGCCCTGGACCAGCTCCCGGTCCAGAATTCAGGGCTGGGGATGTGGGGTCCGGGACCGCAGCTGTCTCAGCAGTGCCCTCTGGTGGCCAGCGTGCAGGGACACCCACGTACCTGCTCTCTCGGGGTTGAGGAAGGGGAGCTGCTGTTTCACGCCAGACCCTGCGTGTAACCGGGAGGCCCAGGGAGGACTCAGCGGGACTCCGGGTTCTACATGTTGCTGGTCCGTAGGAAGGGAGGGGGTCCCGGGGCCCCAAGCCTGAGCTCCCAAAGCTCCTGCTCAGAAGCAGGAGTCCGGGCGGCGCTGTGCAAACCGCACATGACACAGGAGAGTCCTCACCAGGCTCTGTCCTTTCAGTGATCCTGGAGAAGCCCATCCGGATCCCCCGGTTCCTCTCCGTCAAAGCCTCCCACGTTTTAAAAGGATTTTTAAATAAGGTACGTTTCTGGCCACGCTGACAAGCTATCGTCTGTGCCTCTGTCTTGGGGGCAGCGCCCGGTCACGGCTCTTGGCCGTGTTTTCACATCGGCTGCTGCGTGTCGTGCATGTGGGTTGATTTTCTGCTTCGGTATTTGAGCTCTGTGTTCTGTGAATTGCCTGTTTTTATTCACACCTAACAATGTAAAACGAGAGCAGACGCCCAAGGAAAACTGGAACAAAGCTGACCGTGTCGGGGGAAGTAATGTTCAGTAAAGGAGACATCTGATTTCCACCGGGTGGGTCAGAGCGTCGGGGAGGGTTTGTCAGCGCTGGGAGCGGCACTGTGGGGAGCGAGTCGTGGGGCTTCCAGGGTGGCTGACTTGTCCTTGTTTGAACTCTAACCTCCAGGATCCCAAAGAGAGGCTCGGCTGCCGGCCACAGACTGGATTCTCTGACATTAAGTCCCACGCGTTCTTCCGCAGCATAGACTGGGACTTGGTAAAGCATCGTGAAGCCCATTCACACCCCACCCCCACCCCAAGCCCCACCTCAACCGCAACCCCATACCCACCCAACCCTAATACCCACCCAACACCGACCCCAAACCCAACACCCCCAACCCAACCTCAATATCCATGCTAACCCCAAATCCACCCAACTCTACCCCACTGCCAACCCCACCTCCCACCTCGCCCACCTCAACCCCAATGCCCACCCAACCCCCACCCCAAACCCAACACCCCCAACCCAACCCAATATCCATCCATGCCAACCCCAAATCCACCCAACTCTACCCCACTGCCAGCCCTTCCTCCCCCACCTCAACCCCAATATCCACCCAACCCCCACCCCAAACCCAACACCCCCAACCCAGCCCCAACCTCCAACCCTATCCCAACCCCAATATCCACCCCAACCCCTACCCCACTGCCAACCTCACCTCCCACCCCAACCCCGATATCCATCCAACCCCACACCCCCAACCCAACCCCACCCCTCCAACCCCCCACCACTCCAACCCCCACCCCTCCAACCCCCCCACCCATGGTGGACAGGGTGGGGGCCGCGTGGGTGGGGTGGGTTGTGTGAGCTTGTGCACCGCCAAGGTGATCTTTGGCATGGCGCACCTGCATGGAGAGCCAAGGCTCCTGTCTCCCAGAAGGGTCAACTGGGACTGGGGGGCTGCCCTCCAGGGCCCCTAGGAGGAATGGGGAGACACATTTTGTTCTTAGGAGCCAGGAGAGTGAGGGGCCGGATGAGCTCGGCCCATAGCGCTTCCCGATGACCCCTGGCTGTGCTGGCTCGGAGCCAGTGGCTCATGCTTCCTGGCCTGGGACCACACTGCCTGTTGGTTCTACAGGAGCTCTGATCCTGGGTGCCACTCTAGAGAAGGGCGTTTGCTGTGGTTTTGTGGCTAGGTTTATCAGCAGTTACTGGACAGGAGCAGCAGTCACAGCATTCACAGCTTCAGCTTTAGTACCAGGGTCCCTGGTATTGAAGGAGAACGAGCCTGCAGGCAGTGTCGGGCGTACTCTGGTGGATTTAGGAATCTGATTTCAGTGGTGCACGAGCAGGACGCGATCGGTAGGAACTGTACTTTGAGTTCGGACCTTTCCTGGCTGGCTGCATGTGGTCAGTACTCTCCTGTGACGAGCGGCAGTGACCACAGCCCCCGGGGGCCGCATATCAGGAGAGGGCCCGATGCTCCAAGGGGCTCTGTGCGCAGGGGCTTTTGCCGGAACGTGGGCTGGCGTGTCTGGTAGGTTAAGGCAGTGAAGGCCGCGCGGTGTCGCTTGTGGGTCAGTGTAGGAAGCGTGCGCTCCGCCTGGGATGTTTCCGGCGTACAGAGGCTGATTGGGAGGTGACCCCTTCTGAAGCTCAGGAGCATCTGTGAACTTTGTTTCCAACTGTGTAAATGGTTGCAGAGCTGCTGAAGTAAAACCTTTAAAATCCACTCTTTGAGGGAAAAAAACAGATTGGCTAGCTCATCAAGTGCATTTTGGATGAGTTTGAAAGGGATCAGGAGAAAGTGGGGAAGGAGCTCCCCTTCCCCACCCCACCCCCACTTTTCCAGGCAGCCCCTTGGCCAGCGTGGGAGGTCACCCCCCAGCCCCTGTGAGCAGTGGGGACCCTGGTCCACATGGCCCAAGTCACTTTCTGGCTGAAGGACTTTCTTTGCATGTGTGGGACTGTGGGGGAAGGTGTGAGGAGTGAGGTGGTCAGAATGTGCGCCTGCCCCAGAGCAGCTGGGCTGCTACAGAACCAGGACAAGGCCACTCGGTCATTTGGTTGTCAGATGCACACAGTTAGAAATGTTTTGAGCATAGGACCTGCTACAGAATCAGCTTCACAAACTCTTTGTTTAACCTCATGCCGCTGGTCACACAAGGAAGAGGAGTTCTGTGTCTGGTTCTGAACCTCATCCCATGGCCCAGGTGCCTGCCAAGCCAGGATCACAGGTGGTGTCCCCACCTCAGCACCGTCTTTGGCTCAGGCACACCTGGCCTAGTCTCTGATCCACACACTTGGGTCCAGGTGCCAGCTGGCTGAGCCTGTGGCAGGTGCGTAGTAGGATTACATGGAGAGCCAGCACCCCTCCCAGCCACCTCCCCTCACCTGTCTCAGCTCACTCTTCCCCATGCCTTTCCCACCCTCTCTTCCAAGCCCACCTTGTGGGCTCCTCTAGCTCCGTGAGATCCTGCAGCACCATGGGCTCCTCTAGCGCTGTGGGGTCCTCCAGTGCTGTGGGCTCCTCCAGTGCTGTGGGCTCCTCCAGTGCCGTGGGCTCCTGCAGCGAGCCCTGTGGGGTCCTGCAGCTCCGTGGGCTCCTCCAGTACCGTGGGGTCCTGTAGCGCTGTGGGCTCTTCCAGCACCGTGGGGTCCTGCAGCTCCGTGGGCCCCTCCAGCACTGTGGGCTCCTGCAGCGCCGTGGGCTCCTCCAGCGCCGTGGGCTCCTGCAGCTCCGTGGGCTCCTCCAGCGCCATGGGCTCCTGCAGCTCCGTGGGCTCCTCCAGCGCCGTGGGCTCCTCCAGCGCCGTGGGCTCCTCCAGCGCCGTGGGCTCCTGCAGCGCCGTGGGGTTCTCCAGCGCATGGGCTCCTGCAGCTCTGTGGGCCCCTCCAGCGCCGTGGGCTCCTCCAGCGCCATGGGCTCCTGCAGCGCCATGGGGTTCTCCAGCGCGTGGGCTCCTCCAGTGCCGTGGGCTCCTCCAGCGCCGTGGGCTCCTGCAGCACCGTGGGCCCCTGCAGCACCGTGGGGTTCTCCAGTGCGTGGGCTCCTCCAGCGCCATGGGCTCCTGCAGCGCCATGGGGTTCTCCAGTGCGTGGGCTCCTCCAGGGCCATGGGCTCCTGCAGCGCCATGGGGTTCTCCAGCGCGTGGGCTCCTCTAGTGCCGTGGGCTCCTCCAGCGCCATGGGCTCCTGCAGCTCCGTGGGCTCCTCCAGCGCCGTGGGGTTCTCCAGCGCATGGGCTCCTGCAGCGCCGTGGGCTCCTCCAGAGCCTGATCCTGGGTGCAGCCTTGGTGCCCGCCGGGCTCCTGATCTTGTGTCTCAGCCACTCTGGCTTTACCGGAAGTGGATGGATGAGTGCAGATGACCGCCTGCAGAGTGACGGGCTCCTTCTCTTCGGAGCACTCAGTTGAGCATGAGTCTAACCCTACCCTAGCTGGAACTCAAAGGGACCACGAGGCCACCCTTGGCCTTTGGCTGGGAGAGGTCTGCGTCTCTGCCGCGATCGCCAGGTGACTCACGCTCACCACGGCTGTCTCCCAGAAGGCCTTCAGCGGCCCTGGGTCCTACCTGGGTCCCACGACTGCAGAACTCCCACATGGGCGGCGTTCCGTTACCCTGCTTCTTCCTGGCTCTGCGGGTCCCACGACTGCATCCCCATGTGGGGCAGCGCCCACGACTGCAGAACCCCTACCTGGACAGTGTCCCATTGCCCCACTTCTTCCTGGCTTTGCGGGCTGCGTTGCGACTACCGTCCCCGGCCTAAGAGGCTGCAAAGGGCTTGCCACCAGCCACCAGCCCTGCTTCTACTGCCTCCTCACCACCCATCAGCTCTTGTGGCTTCTAGGAAGAAGTGTGGCTATTTTGGCCAGATTGGTTTAGCTGGCTAACAGGGTTGGGGTGCACCAGGTGATCTTGGCAGAAGGTGCGTGCTCCCCGCATTCACCCAACGTCCACAACTCAGTGGTTTTGAGCAGTCCCAGAATTACATGACCATCACCTATATCACTTTCATCACTCATCGCCCCATACCCAGAGGAGACCCAAACCCACTCCAGCCTCTTCTCTCACCCTGCAGCAGCCACCCTGCTGGGCTCTACAGCTCTGCCTGGTCTGGACGTGTCGTGGAAAGGGACCTGGGTGCACCGTGGCCTTCCACTCCTGCCCCTCCCCTCAGCCTTGTGTCCACAAGGTGCACCCAAGCGGTAGCACGTGGCACTGCCTCCTCCACCCTGTGGCTGTACCCCAACCGCTGCGTGGACACCACGTCACACAGCTGCCCTCAGTGGACACCGGGTGGGCTCCACCTACTGGCCATTGTGAACTGTGCAGCCTTGCACACCTGTGAACCGTTTTTGTGTGGACATGTGTTTCTCTGGGGCAAATGCATTTCTGTGTAGATGTGTTTGCATTTGGGGCAAATGCGTTTCTGTGGACGCGTGTGCGTTTCTCTGGGGCAGATGCGTTTCTGTGTGGACGCGTGTGCGGTTCTCTTGGGCAGCTGCGTTTCTTTGTGGACGTCTGTGCGTTTCTCTGGGGCAGATGTGTTTGTGGACGCGTGCGTGTTTCTCTGGGGCAGATGCTCAGAGCACAGTTGCTGGTCCACTGGTCTTGGTCTAGCTTTTCAAGGGGGCTGCCTCTTCCTGCAGCGCTGCTTTCTGGTCACTTTGGGGTCCCTCAGTGCTGTGCTGGACCCAGTTCCACGGGCTGTAGTGGGCACAGCATGAGAATGGCCCCTTGGTGGGTGTCAGCTCCCTGTGGGAATGGGGCAGGCACGAGGCCTTGGTCCCCACGTGTGGACTCAGGGTCTCCTTCTCAAACTTCAGGAAGGTGGTGGGAGCAGCGGGGTGGATGGTGAAAGCACATGGTGCCTGCCGCGCCCCCCAGGGTCCGAGGGTAGAGCTGGGACGGGGTTACAGTCACCCCCGAGCCGCCCCAGCCCCTCCTTGCCTACCCCTAGCACTGCTCCGTCAGCGGCGACCACTGAGGTGTGCAGCACCGGGTCCCTACCCCTGCTTTCCTCCTGGAGCCAGCCCTCCTGCCCCCTGCCCTGGAGAAGAGAGACCTGTCCGCTGAGGGCCCGCCCACCAGCAGGGCAGATGCACCTTCCTTACCCCGAGTACCAGGAGGTGGGACCTGTTTCTTCGTCTCATCGGGGGCTCCCATGGACTGTGTTCAGACCCCACCCTCTGCCGGGTCCAGGCGCGTCCTCAGTCTCCTGTATCCCGAGCCCTCCGGTTTGTCTGGGAGCAAAGGCCATGGGGAAGTTGCTGGGTCCATCCTGGGTGAGCATTGAGTGATGGACAGGCCCATCCTGCAGGAACTGGGTCCTGACAGCAGGTCCTGGACTGCTGGCTGGGGCTGCCACTCTGAGAGGGTCCCTGTTGCTGCGGGACCCCCAGTGCTTGGTGCAAAGGCCGAGGGTTTGCGGAACACCTGACAGGTACTCCTTGTGAATATCAGGGGTCTGGGATTCGAAGCGCTGGATTTCCCACAGTGGTCCCAGCCCCCCACGGATGTGAACGCGGGTGGCGGGTTAACAGCTGAGCCACCACCTGCTGCCCAACCCCATGCGTCCAACGTGGCTGGGCAGTGCTGCGCCAGCTCGTCTCCCCACGGATGGAAATGTTGGCGTGGTGACAGCCGTTCCTCTTGAGAGTCGTTTGCTGCCACGTGGTGGGGAGATTCTGCCCCTGAGCCAGGAGCGCTTCAGCTCCCACCCCCATCACGTCCATGATGTGGGTCCAGGGCTGCCAGTGGGAGGCTCCACGGAGGAGCAAGGACTCTGATGCTTCGTGTCACGGGAGCTTCGGGACTTTCCCACACGTGACAGGCACATTCCTCGGAGCTCGGTGGGAGGAACCCAGCTACTTCATGTGCTATGCAAAGAGCCGGTGACAGAGGAGGGGAAGACGGGAAGCTGCGGAGGAGGATGGGTAACAGGAGGCCCACAGAAAGGACGCCTGGGCCTGGGCAGCGGTGGGACCGGGCGGGAGGCTGCTGTGGGAGGCCTGGGGCGGTGGAGGCTGTCAGGAGCAGGGGTCACAGCTGCAACTTCACGGGGAGGGGTAGGCCCCACAGCTGGGCTGGTGCCGGCCCCGCTACCCAGGGGCCAGTTTTATGACCTGTGTGGCCATAAAACTCTCATGCCTGGAGTGTGTCGAAGGCAGCAGTGCCCTGGCCTGGCCACCGTGAACCCCTCTGTCCTGCCGTGGTGTGTGGCACAAGGCAGGTGTGGTGTATCCAGCTGGAGCCTTGAGTAGTGGAACCTCAGCCGGGATTTAGGCCTGTAGGGCTGTTGGGCCCCACAGGGTCGGGGGGTGTCCCTTATGCTGTGCCGAGGTGCAGGATCCGAGAAGTAAAGAGACAGGACACTGAAGAACTGGAGAAGAGCATCTGGACTCGGGGGCCACGCCACCTGTGAGCGGAGATGAGCGAGAGCCCCAAATGCCCAGAAGCATCTGTATTTTCTGTATTTATTAGGTATAAGCGGTGGGCAGGGCCGTGAGTGAGGTCATATCTGTAGGCTCAGTAACAGGGCATCCATAATCACGAGTCACAAGCGAGGGGTCCACCCCATTGTGTCACCTGGGCAGAGAGGTGGGCTGTGCGCAGTAGGTGGCTGTGCTGTGTGCAGTAGTAGAGGGTCCTGAACAGAAAAGGGGTCCAGCCCCATTAGGTCACCGAGGCAAGGAGGTGGGCTGTGTGCAGCAGGTGTCGTGCGTGACACTTCTTACCTGGGGGCTGGAGGCTTCAGAGGGTTTCCAATAGAAGGATGCTGTAAGCCAGTGCAGTGGGGGCTGACAGACGTGTGCTCTTCTCTAAGGTATTTATGGGAGGATGATTTGAGCTAGCACAGAAGCGAGAAAAGACTGACAGGGTGTCCGGCCGCCGTGACTGGTCACACCAGAGGGTTCTTCTCCCTCCGTTACTTCCAGGATCTCAGGCCTGAGGCCGACTTTCCACAGGAACTGGATGCAAGGTGCTACAGCTCCTTTCTCAGGAGGAGAGGCTCCTGCTCCAAGCCTGCCGTACAGCGTGTGCCCTTTCAGGCGGGGCCGCCGCCGCCTGGGTCTTTGGTTCTCGTCCTGGTCTGGCTGTTTTCCCATGTACTGCTTCTGCTCTGGGACTGCTCTGGGCATTCCTCCTACTACAGACGACGATATGGTTATATAGGAGGATTCTATAAGTCAGCACTAAATGTGTCGGTACAGCTCCGACTACAATACCTATATGATTATATAGAAAGATTATATGGGACTAAGTATAATTATATATATAAGCTACTATATAGGAAGCAGTGAGTTATATGATTATATAGAAAGATTACATGGGACTAAGTATAATTATATATATAAGCTAGATATAAGTAAGTGGTGAGTTATGCTTCAGGCACTAACTATGCCTGGGGTTTGCATAGTTCTCCTTCCTCAGTGCCCTGGGGGGTTGTTACGCACAAGGCCGACCTGAGTGTGTTTATGAAAATGCATGTGGGGACCAGCTGCAGACACACGGACGACTCACACACACACACCCGGACACCCAGACACACGGACGACTCAGACACTGACGACCCAGACACACGGACGACTCAGACACTCGGACACGCAGACTCACGGACGACCCAGACACACGGATGACTCAGACACTGGCGACCCAGACACATGGACACGCAGACTCATGGACGACCCAGACACACGGACGACTCAGACGCACGGATGACCCGGACACACAGACAACACGGACACACGGACGACTCAGACACGGATGACTGGGATGCACAGACAGCTGTGTGCCGTGGCACCCCCCGGGCACTGCCTCCTGGGCCCAGCCCTGCCTCTGGTGGCCGCCAGGTGTCACCGGTCATCACCCCAACAGCGCAGGGTGGTCTCGGGAGCCTCCTGCATCATTGCCAAGAACTGGCTCTGGGCTGTTTCCATGTGGCCAGCGACTTTGACCGAAGCAGCCTCCGGCGTGCTGACCCCTTGGAGGCCTGCAGGGCCTGTCCATGCTCTGCCAGGTGGTGCCCAGCCCAGCCCCCCAGTCCTGCTGCTTCACCCCACCCCACCCCTGCCACCCCCACCAAGCCTCCAGTGTCTTGCCCGGCCCTACGGACAGCAGTGTCCGCCTGTGTCCAGAAGCTTCCTCCCCTTCAGCCTCCTTGGGTGTTGTGACCCCTCTGCGGTCCCCAGCACATGGGACACATGCCCACGCTGGGGCCTTTTTCATGACTGTGCCCCGCCCACACGTCCTCCCCAGGCCCCAGTCCTCGCCTCCCTCAGGCAGCCCCATCGACGCAGGGCAGATGCCCTGTTGTATCTCAGCTCACTGCTGTGGTTACAGCCATAGCCCCTATGGCTCCTGCTACTGCCAGAGTCCGACTCAGGATCAGTGTGCACTCAGACGCACTGCCCCGAGAGGTCAGAGTGCCTGTGGCTGCGTGCAGGGGGCGGCGCTGGGAAACCGCGTCAGGCACCATGGGCCCCAACCTGTAGCCCGCGTTCAAGCTGAAGAGATGGCCACTGAGGGCTTTTGAGCAAGAAGAGGCAACGCTGGCCCCTGGGGATGCCATCAGGGAAACAGGCCACCTCAAACTCGGAGCAGAGAACCGGTGGGGCCGGGGGCCGGAGGCTGCATTTTTCACCTGCTCCGTGCCCAGCCCTGCTGCTTACGAAACGGAAGCAGCCCAGCACTAAGGGAGGGAAAGTCGTTTGGGAAGTGCTCCCTTTTTTTCACACTTTATCAGGAAACGTTTCTTACTGGCAAAGAATACAGGTACCTGATGAATGAAGGGGGTGTCCTGTCCCCACAGCCCTTCTGTGTGCACCACCACCTACGGGGACAGCCCTGTCCCTCCCTTTGGCTCCTCGGCACAGTCTCCTCTACCCGGTGGCCTGGCTGTGGAAGCTGCTGTGGCCCAGCTTTCAGATGACCGCAGCCCTCACCCGTGTCCAGCCTTGCGTGCAAAGGATTTGTCTGTTTTTGTGACATCCTAGTAGATGTCACGTTCGTAGAATGTATGTGAGCATTTCTTTGTAAGTTCCCAAAAACCTCAGGGTTTTGTCCACGATTCCATTCCCAGTTCAGCTTTTGTCGTCGTCGTTCTTGACCGCCCTGAGCCTGCAGTGGAGAGCAGGGGTGCACCGGCAGCCTCCAGCCGAGGCCCAGGCCCAGGCCCCCCTGCCCTGCATCTTCCCGCCAAGCAGCACCTGGTTTTGGAGGTGGAGGCCTAGATAGGCAGAAACAGGTTGATTCCAGCTTGAACAGCTGGAGAGTCCCGAGGGCGGGGTCCGTGTGGTGCCAGTGTTGATATGCTGGGGTGTGTTGCCCTAGCAGGTGGGGTACCTCGAAAGCTAGGCCATATTGGGGGCATTTCTGGGCTTGGGAGCCTTGGCTTTCCCAGGGGGAAGGTGGTTGCTGGGTGCCCTGCGATCTGCCCATAAGCTGGGCTGTTGTGCTTAGTCAGCAGGGAGATAGGAGCCTTGGAGGCTGCATTTTTCACTAGCCGCACCCACCCGGCCCCATGCCTGGCTCCAGGCTTCCCAGGGAGCAGAGCGGACGTGATGCTCTCCCCTCAAGCCTGGTGAATGGTGGCTCCACCAGGCTGGGCTCTGCTTACAGCTGAATCTCAGCCTTGAGCAAGCCGGGCCTGGCACAGGAGCACACACCTAAGGGGAGGGCCAGTGAGCAGGTGAATGAGCGTTTGAGGGTGGGTTGCAGTGAGTGAGCCAGTGAGTGGGCTGGAGAGCCGGGGAGTAAGAAAGTGAAGGAGGGAGTGGGTTAGAGAGCGAGGGAGGGAATGAATGAGTGGGAGTGGGTTAGAGAAGAGGGAGGGAATGAATGAGTGGGAGTGGGTTAGAGAGCGAGGGAGGGAATGAATGGGTTAGGGAGTGAGGGAGGGAATGAATGAATGGGTTAGAGAGTGAGGGAGGGAATGAGTGAATGAGTGGGGTGGAGAGCGAGGGAGGGAATGAATGGGGTGGAGAGCGAGGGAGGGAATGAATGAGGGTTAGAGAGTGAGGGAGGGAATGAGTGAATGGGGTGGAGAGTGAGGGAGGGAATGAATGAATGAATGAGTGGGATGGAGAGCAGGGCTGGGGGGTGAGTGAGCGAACACCTCGGTCTTTGGTGCTGCTGGAACCATGTCTGAGCCTGGGTAATTTCCAGGGAGCGCAGGTCTCTCTGCTCTGCAGGCCGGGAGTCCCAGGTCATGGTGCCAGCAGGCTTGGTGTCTGGCGATGCCAGATCTCTGCTTCCAAGGTGGCGCCCAAACACTACAATCCCCGGAGCGGGGGGAGGAAGGCCGCCTGCCCCTCCCATGCCCTCTCCAGCTGCAGGAATCCTTGGTGAGGGTGGGCTCCAACTCCCACTCTGTTAATCTGGGGAATGAGTTTCTCATGGGGAATCGGGCGCATTCAGATCCTATTGTGGGAGAGTGGGAGGGCGTGGCCATGTCGCTGGGACGTAGCCGTGAGGGGGGCTAAGGGCTTTCGCTGTCCTCGCCCGTGTGTGTGTGGTGGCGTTCTGCCCTCCCCGGTGTAGACGCATCACCAAGGCCTGGTACGCAGCAGCCAGAAGTGAGCCTTGTACCACGGCCCAGGCCCGCCTGCCTGGCTTTCTCCTGCAAGCAGCACCTGAGACTCTGAAGTCGCTGCCTAGATAGACAGAAACGGGCCAGCAGCAGGCTCCTGACAGACGGGTCCGTGGGGTGCTGGCGTGGGCAGGTGCCGTGGCCAGGTCCCGCACCTTCATGGTCAAGGGTTCCAGGATGCCGTCAGATGGCTTGTTTGGCCGGTTAGTGTTGGTGCCCCTCTGAACAAGGACCCCCAGAGTTAGGGGAGGTCTCACATGGGTACCCGGGGGTCCCGCTCCATCCCACATGTGGCCAGCGTGGCCCACACTTCCGGCATTTTTCAGCTTAACACTTTTTTTGACTTTGGGTATTTCCTATATTTTGTGTTGTAAGAAAAATCACTCAGCATTCAAATGCTAGGCAGATTGAAATGCTGAGTTTCTTACTATTTCATTTTGTGATTCAAGTGTGTGCAAAACACCGAATCTGTAGGGGTGACGGCCGCGTGGAGCTGACTTCTCGCATTGCTTTTCCCAGCTGGAGAAGAAGCAGGCGCTCCCTCCCTTCCAGCCACAGATCACGGACGACTACGGTCTGGACAATTTTGACACCCAGTTCACCAGCGAGCCCGTGCAGCTGACCCCAGACGACGAGTAAGGCCCACTGGGGGTGGGGAGGCAGGGACCCTGCAGGGGCCGCACCTTGGGCAGCTGTTGACCCGGCCCGCCCTTGACGCACACCCGCCTGGCATCATCTCCCCAGTGGGCGTGGTGGAGGAATCTTAGGTGAATGTGACTCCCCCCGCTCCCCCGCAGGGAATGAACACACGGTCACCCCCGCCTTCCCCCACCCTTCCTGCCCACAGGGATACCATAAAGAGGATTGACCAGTCGGAGTTCGAAGGCTTCGAGTATATCAACCCGCTGCTGCTGTCCACGGAGGAGTCCGTGTGAGGCTGCGTGGATCTCTTGTGGACACGCGGGATTGACCCTTTAACTGTATCCTTCACCACCGCATCTGCATGCCAGGCTGGGCACGGCTCCAAGGGCAGCTGGGGACGGACACTCACGCCGAGACTGCGGAGGACGTCGCAGGCGCTGCTGGGGCGGGACGGCCCCTCGTGCCTGGGCCCGGCAGGCCACTCCATGCCAGGGGAACTCGCTGCTGCGCCCGCGTCGCGGCGGACCGTGGGACCCTGCCCAGGGGCTGTCGGAGGTGCACGTCTTCCGTGGAAACACAGCTCCGTGCGCCGACCTGCTCCGCCAGGAAAGCGAGCGTGTAGCGTCCCGAGGAATAAAATGTTCCGATGATGTCGAAGCTCCTCTGATGCCTTTTTTCCGTGAGTGGCGCCTGCCCCACGCTCAGACGCATCCCACATGTAGGGGGGCAGTTCAGGAGCCAGCGGGACATGGCGGGGCGGGGGTCTCAGTGCCTGTGGGGACCCGCTGCGGCCAAGAACTGTACAGATCTGCCGTGTCTTACGTTCCGGTAAGTCCCTGTCGTCTTCTGCAGCGCGTGGGCCCAGCCACTGGGGCCTGAGGGTGAAGTGACACCTTAAGCAGGGGCGGCTGGGCCACCCAGCCCACGGGACCCATTCGGGAACCAAATCATAGCAGTTCTAACACGTGGCTCACCAAAGCACAGTAGACCAAAAGAGGAAAGGAAAACTAAACATTAAACCCGCGTTTCTGACACTCCACTGTGCCTGCGTGATGCCTCGGGCGACGCCTCTGAGTTTTGGAAAATATTCTTGCCTGTCGCAGGTACTCAGAATTAGGGAAAACTGAAAGGTGTACCTGTGACGGGCCCCAGCCTTAAAGCTGAATGATGACCCTGCAGACACCCAGAAACACACGCATTTCCCAGCAGAGCGGCCCCTGCTTCCGGGGTGGCCCCCGTGTTCCCGCTCCCCAGGCAAAGGGACAGCTGCCCAGGTGCCAGGTACCAGGCGTGGCTGAGCCGTCTTCTGGGCTCCCTGGGTTAGAGGGGGTCACAGCTACCCCCTCTAAGTGAGGCCTGGTGCACAGGTGTGGGAATTGCCACATACCCCTCAGCCAGGCACAGAGACCCCAGGCCTCTGTGACTTGGGGCCACCACACCCCATGGTGCGGCTGGTGGCTTGGGGAGGAGAGGATGAGGAAAATCTCAAGTCAGAGGTTGGCATCGCACCTCCAGGCCATAGCCGGCAGGTGAGCCTGGCCACCCCCGACACACTCAGGTTTCTCAGGGTGCTGCCAGTGCCTGCACTGAGCACAGCATCATGGATTCTCACCTGGGCCCCAGGTGCTAGGACAAGAATGCCAGCTCTGGGCGTACTGCTGGCCCCTTGTCCGTCCCCACGGCCCGAGACCCTGGCACCCCGCCCTCCCAATCTTAGCTGGTGGGACTTAACTCCAAAGATGGAGAATGAGAAACCCCAGGGCAGAGCCAGGAGCCGACGTGGGTCTCACACAGGTGTCCCAGGCCAGCGTGGGATGTCCAGCCAGTGGGGCCCGGCCTGTGGCCGCTGCGTCACACCTGCTGGAGTGGGGCTGCCAAGACCCCACCCTGAGTGGGAGAGACCCCAGTGTGTCCCGGAAGAGCTCAACAAGCAAACCGCCTTCCACGAACCGCCTCCATTTGTGAACCGTAACGCCGGTGCCCAAATTCTGCTGTGTTGCTGACAGCATGCAGGTTAGCAGGTGGGCTGCTCTTGTACAAAATGTGTGAATAGTGCTGTGCCCGCCACAGGGAGGCTTTTATATTCAGTCACTTGTTTTATAAATTAAAGTGAAGGATGTGCTGAAGTGTGGTTTGAAGAATCCTGGTATTTGCCAGTGGCTCCGGCCACAATGGTGTGTCTTTTGGAAGTGGTTCCTGAAAACTCTGGGGACTCGGGGGCTGCACGGTGGGCCTGTGTGGGCGCGGTACGGGGCGGCTGCCTGTGGACTCGTGGCTGGCCAGCTCCTGTGGGTGACACTCCCCTCCGACGGCCAAGGTCATTCGAAGTCTTGCACATCCTTTGAAGACTTTAATGAAGATGCTTATATTATTGTACTTAAAAGCAGGTGTTTCCAAGAAGCAAAGGTTTTTGAAGCCTTCTTTTGTTTAGATGGAGTCTCACTCTGTCTCCCAGGCTGGAGTGCAGTGATGCTATCGCGACTCACTGTAGCCTCTTGCTTCCTGGGTTCAAGCGCTTCTCCTGCCTCAGCCTCCCAAGTGGCTGGGATTACAGGTGCCCACCACCATGTCCAGCTGATTTTTTGTACTTTTAGTAGAGATTGGGTTCCACCATGTTTGCTAGGCTGGTCTCGAACTCCTGACCTCAAGTGATCCACCCACCTCGGCCTCCCAAAGTGCTAGGATTACAGGCGTGAGCCACCGCGTCCGGCCTGAAGCCATTTTCTTAAGTAGGCTTATGTCAGGGCAGGTTTAGGCTCCCACCAAAATGAGCAGAAGGTGCAGAGTCCCCCTGCGGCCCTGCCCCGCCCTGCCCAGCCTCCCTCACCGGGGCGCACTGCTGACAGCTGCCAGGTGCGTACTTGTCATCACCCCGCACCCAGAGTCCCCGCCAGGCTCACACTGCAGCCGTCAGTCCCCATGGGTGTGCACAGCCCTGACTGTGGATTCACTGCTGTGGGGCCACAAGGACCCGCGTCCTGCGTCCTCCCGTGCCCGCCTGCGCCTCCCCGCCCCTGCACCCTCTGATGTGTTTGGTCCTCATGGTGTTGCCCTTTCCAGGACACCCTAGGGTTGGAATCGCAGTGTGCAGCGTTTTCTTTCCCTCAGTGATGTGTGTTTATGGTCCCGTGTTTTTCGAGGCCTATCTGTAGCTGTGATTGAAAGGAAAATACAGATGTCTGAGTGTTCATCTTGGGTTTCCACACATCCGCCCCCAGGCCTGTTCCCTCAGCCACCGAAGACGGGGGTCAGGGCTGAATCAGCAGAGGCCGGCTCTCTAGAACCAGGGGGCTGAGCAGCAGTGGACAGGAAGCTCCCTGAGGACGCCGGTCCCCATGCTCCGCCCGCACGGTGAGCCAAGCAGACAGCGGCTGACAGGTCTGCATGAGCCACTGCTGCTCTCCTTCCCCAGGAACTCCGCATTTCAGAAGAAGCGGCCTCAAAGCCCCTGGCAGGTGGCGATGAGGCCCTGGAGCCCCCATGGAGTCTCGGCTCCTGCAGCCCTAACACATGACCATGGACCTGGGGCTTCAAGCAGACTCTGGCTCCAGAGGAGGGCCCTGGTCCGGCCTGTGTCCCCCGGGTCTCCATTATGGGGCCCTCATCTCACAGGAGCCATCGCCCCGACCTCCTGTGCCGCCACCTGGTGAGGATTTCAACCCGGGAAGGGGAGCTCCCTGGCACGCAGCCTGCAGCACACGGAGCAGGGGCCTGCCTTTCTCGCAACTCGCTGCAGCTGCAAGTTCACACTGAGGAATTAGAACTCAACTGAGGGCCGGCGCCGTGGCTCCCGCCTGTAATCCCAGCACTTTGGGAGGCCGAGGCGGGTGGATCACCAGGTCAGGAGATCAAGACCACCCTGGCTAACACACTGAAACCCTGACTCTACTAAAAATACAAAAAATTAACCAGGCATGATGGCAGGTACCTGTAATTCCAGCTATTCAGGAGGCTGAGGCAGGAGAATCGCTTGAACCTGGGAGGTGGAGGTTGTAGTGAGCAAAGATTGCACCACTGCGCTCCAGCCTAGGCAACAAAGCGAGACTCCACCAAAAAAAAAAAAAAAAAAAAAAAAACTTGGAAGCTGGGCCTGGTGGCTCGGGCCTGTAATCTCTGTACCTGAGGAGGCCAAGGCGGGAGGATCACTTGACTCCAGAAGTTTGAGACCAGCCTGGGCAACATGATAAGAGGCCCCAATCTGTACAAAAAACTACTAAAATTAGCTGGGCGTGGGGACATGCACCTGTAGTCCCAGCTATTCAAGAGGCTGAGGTGGGAGGGTCATCAGCCCTCCAGTCTGCAGTGAGCCGTGACTGCACCCCTGACTCTGGCCTGCGTGACAGAGCAAGGACCATCTCAAAAGACCAAACAAGACCGTGACTGCACATGAGCCAACCACACCTGTCCACAAAGTCAGGAAAACGAGCTGCTCCCAGCCTGTCCCATCCTCAGTGGGGCTGCTGGGTGAAAGGGGTCGGCTGACCTGCCTGGGGCTTTGCCTGGTTCTGATTTCACTGCTGTGAATTTGCCCTGAACGAAACGTCAGAAAAAAAGCCGCTGTTTCATCACAACAGGCAGGTGCACGGCCTTCTTTAATGCCAAGCTGGAGAGCTGGGAGGAGGGGCTTCTGGCGGGAGAGGGCGTGTCCGGCCATCGCACACAGCACTTGGCTCCCTGGAAGGCGCTCACCACATCACATCTTCTGTGCTTTCGGCCAAGCACTGGGCCAGGTGGCTGTCAACATCCAGCTGGGTCAGCCTGTAAGGGAGGAGCTGTGGTCACCAGGCCACCTCCACGGCATGCTGGCCGCAGGGAGCACCCTCTGGGACCTCCAGGCCCTCCCTGCTTCTGCCACTGGAGAGGATCCAGCTGCTCAGAAGTAAGGGGTGGGGCTGCCCCCGGGGCTCAGGACCCTGGCAGACCACACCAACCACTGGCAGCATCTCCACACCCACCCGTGAGGATGCTGCTCCAGGCCAGGCCCTGCGTCTGAGCTGGGGGTAGGAGGCTGTGTCTCAACAAGCCCCCTATGGGATTCTGGCATCTGCTCAGCTTGAGAACGCAGTTCATTGTAGGTCCTGCCTGAACGCAGAGCCCAGGAGCCCATCTGCAGGCCAGAGGAGCCAGCAGACAGGCGGCCTGACCCGAAGAAGACTCAGGAGGGTGGCCGCCTGCCCGGGAGAGCCTGGCACGCAGGCTGCCAACCCACCATACTGGGAGGCCCCACGCAGCCCCTGCACCTCTCAGGAGGGCACTGGCCCCGGGAGGGTGGCCGGCCAGGCAGAGGTGGCAGGAGAAAAGCCACCGAAGCCCGTGGGTCAGCGCCCTGGGTGTCTGGCGGGGCAGGAGGGTGTCTGAGCACAGCCACTTTCTATCCCTGGCCTCAAGCTGGCTCCATCGCAGCCCAACTAGAGTGGCTGGGAGTGACCTTCCCCAGGCCTGGCCAAGGCGCGGCCCTGGGGGCCAGGAGAGTCACCTTCCAGCCATGATGCTCAGAGGGTGCTGGGTCGGGGAGCTTAGTGCAGCTGCATGGGACATGTCCAGGGGCAGAGTGGGTGGCTGCAGCCTAGACTCGGGCCTAGATCTTGCTGGAGGCCCAGTGGTCAGCGTCCCCTCAGGTAACCATCCCTCGAACACCGCTGCTGGGGACACACCTCCGCTGAGCGGCTAAGTCACAGGACACATGTCCCTGTGTCCACCTGTCAGCCACACCACTCCTCACTCCCCTACAGCCACTGCCCTGGCACGTGACCAGGCATGTCTGAGGAGTCCACGGAGCACCACCCAGCCTGGGCTCTGCTGTGTCCCTTCCTGGGGCTCCGTGTGGCCACTGCAGCCCTCCAGTCCCCCTCTCCAGACCACAGCTGGACCCCCACTCCGGAGGCCGGCTCCAGCTGCCAGCGGCTGCCTTCTCTGGCAGAGCCCGCCCAGTGTCTTCTGAAGCTCCCGAGGGTCACTCAGTCTGAGACCTTCCCGCTTCTGCCCATCCCGGGGACCAGCCCCACCTCCACATGCTTGCCTTACGGCCACCGGAAGGTCCTAAGATCTGAAGCAAGGTCATCCTGTCCCGGTGTTTGCGGGCAGCGTCCCTTGGTTGGGGCCCTCTGAGATGCCTTCAGACCTCGGCCTGACCTGCCCCGTCCAGTGGGGCTTTGGCTGCTGAGCAGACACATCCAGGCCCCACGGTACATCCAGGCCATAGGACAGCAGGGGCCCAGAAGCCTCCTGTGGCTTCTGCGTGTGGGCAGGGGGGCAGGGCTGCAGAGTGGGCAGGCACCTGGCAACGTGAGGGGCCTCAGGGCTGTTAAAATCCTAATGACTGGTGGGGCGCAGTGGCTCACGCCTCTAATCCCAGCCCTTTGGGAAGCCAAGGCGGGCAGGTCATCTGAGGTCAGGAGTTCGAAACCAGCCTGACCAACATGGTGAAACCCCGTCTTTACTAAAAATATGAAAATCAGCCAGGTGTGGTGGCGTGTGCCTGTAATGCCAGCCTACTCAGGAGGCCGAGGCAGGAGGCGTCTGCACAGGGCAGGGTTTTGGGCCCAAGGCAGAGGCCGGCTGTTAGGCCAGGCGGCCTCCTTGCTGGGGTCCTGCGGTCATGAGCCCCAGGGCATCCCAGGGTGGCCATGCAAACCCTTGTTCCCCAAAACACGGGAGGGCTTATCCCCCAGCTAGCCTGCCCGTGCCGTGGCCACAGCCTCAGAGGTGAGTTCCGGTTCCAAAGTACTGGCTCTCCCCTGCAATCAAGTGTTAGAATGTGCTTGAAGCATTCCAGACACACCAAGGCCTGGGCCTGGCTTCGCTGACGCCTACTTAGGAGAAATCGAGACCAGCTGCCGACCTTCCAGCAACGGCTTAAAATGCTCAGAAGCAGCAACTTTTTCCTCGTGAATCTGCTTTCTCTGGGAGTCTTTTTTTAGGCTATCTGGAAAAGCAGGAGACCAGACAAAAGCCCCTACCCGGGGGGCGGGGGGCAGCGCCCCGACAGCATCAGCAGTCTCGGGGCTTCAGCCAAGAACACGGATTTCTCCCCAGAGCCCCCAACAGGACCTTCTGTCCCTGGACTTTTTTTTTTGAGACAGAGGCTTGCTTTGTCTCCCAGGCTGGAGTGCAATGGCACCATCTCAGCTCACTGAAACCTCCACCTCCCGGGTTCAAGCCGTTCTCCTGCCTCAGCCTCCCGAGTAGCTGGGACTACAGGCATGCACCACCACACCCAGCTACTTCTTGTATTTTTAGTAGAGATGGAGTTTCACCACATTGGCCAGGCTGGTCTCGAACTCCTGACCTCGTGATCTGCCTGCCTCAGCCACCCACTGTGCTGGGGTTAGAAGCATGAGCCACCGCGCCCAGGCCTTTCTTTTGTTTTGCTGGCTGCTGACTTTGGACTCTGCTCCCTTCGCCCTCCTGATCTGTTTTTGCTTCTAGAAGACCAGGGTGTCAGGCACGACTGAAGGACCCCGTCTCCTGGCCATGTGAGATGTGAAACCCACCGCCCATTAACCCAACCAGAAGTCACGAACCAGCGTCGTTCACACGGCCCTGGCCCCAGTACCTGTTCAGGAGGCCAAGGGCCCAGAGGCCACCAGACACGAGGCCAGCACTGGGCAGTTAGGGTTACCATGTCAGCAAAACTGGCTTCCATTCCCCTCTACTTAAAAAACATATAAAAATACACATTGTACTTCAAAAAAAAAAAAAAAAAAGCATCTCCAGACCAAAAAAAAAAAAAAAAAAACTCTTCATTTTTAAAACCCATGACCCACCTTCGGAAAGGTGTTCTCTTGGCCTGGGCCTGGGCATGCTGGCACCACCAGCTGCCAGGATGGCCAGGTGGACCGCGGGCCAGTGCTCTTGCCTTCCTCCTATGCCATCTGAGGGCCCCCAGCCTGCCCTGGCCCCAGAGCACAGACAGCAGGTGGACCCCAGACACGTGACAGAGAGCCACCGGACGGGCCAGGTCACAGCACCGGGCCACCCTGCCAGGTGCGAAACGGCTTTAAAAGCCAGCGCTGAGGTCAGCCACCTCTTGACCTTCCAAAGGGCTGTGGTTTCCAAACAGGGATGTGTAACCGGCCAGGCTCGGGGGCGGCTCACTCACCTGGGGGCGAACTCCTTCTGGCACATAGGGCAGCTGCGCAGGGTCGCGGCCCCCCCAGCAGACGGCGGCGGCTCCACGCTGGGTGCCCGGCAAGGATCAGGTGCCGGGTGCTGGGAAGCGGACCTGTCGGGGGACTCCAGGTGCCCTCCTGCCCTGCAAAACAGCCGGTAGGAGCGGCCGGGGCCCCACAGGTTCGGCGGAAAGGGCGTCCAGGAGAAGGTCTTGGGTCCCACAGTGAAGATTTCAGTGGGTCCCGGGCTGCAGCTGCGCTCCTGCAACACAGAGCTGTTGGGTCTTGCCCCAGCGGTGGCCCCCACCCTGGAAACCCCTCCGCCACTCCGATGGGCCTGGTGGGCACACCTGTCCAGGGAAGGCGGGCAGCGGAGGCAGCTCCTGATCCAGGCTCAGCTCTGGGCTCACGGTGCGCAGCAGCTCGACCCAGAGACGCTCCCGTTCATCACCCCCCAGGAGAAACCAGGGGCGGTCACCAGAAGGCCTGGGGCGGACAGAAAAGGGAGATGGGGGTCATCAGCAGGGGAAATGCTATGGTGGGGGAGGCCGGGGAGGGCCTGGAGCAGAGAGCGGGGCATGGGGGCACTAGGGGAGGTAGCGGGCCTGGTTGGGAATGGGCCTGCTAGAGCAGACAGTGAAAAGATGAGAGGTACTGGGGTCGGGGGAGCGGGGCAGGGGTGGAGGTGTCGGGTCCTCGGCAGGATGACACGACGCTGGGGGACACTGCGAAGGGCCCGGGGAAGACAGAGGGGGAAGGCAGAGGGGGAGATGGGGTGCCCCGGGGGGACGCGATGATGGGGCAGGGCCTGGGGCGGCGCGGGGGAACCTCGGGGTGGGGTGGGGGCTGGGTGCGGGAGCTGAATGGCGGGGCGGGGTGGGGGAGGACGTGGGCGACGGGCTTGGGGGCGGGAGCCCTCCCAACCGGGAGAAGATGGCGGGAGGCCCGCGGGGGCTCCGGGAAGCACGCGGAAGCGGGAAATCCGGCCGCGCCCCCGCCCGGCCCCCGGCCTCACCCGCCCGCCGGGGGCGGCCTCCGACGGCTCAGCCCCAAGCGCGGCCTCCGCGCCGCCTCCATCCGATCTGTGCGCCGGGCGGAAGTGAGCGCAGGCCCCACCCCGGCCTTCAGGCCCCGCCCCCGGCCTCCAGGCCCCGCCCCCGGCGCCAGGCCACGCCCCCGGCGCTCTGCCCACTCCGAGACAGTGGGAACCCCGGGGGGCCCTGATCCCAGCCTGCAGGAAGCCGGGGCCAGGGTTCCTTCGTCCAGCACCGCAGAAGGGGGCCTGAGGTGGGGCGGAGGCCAGGTGCGGGAGCCCCGGCCGTGCCCCGCCTTCCCGTGCAGGCAGCCCTGGGCCGGAGCCCCATCCGTTACCCCGACGTCCGTCCGGCCCGCCCGGGCCCTGCCTCCTCCCGGCCGCACCCCACAGCTCCCGCCCCCGTTTCCGGCTCTGCGGAGCCGCCTCTCCTTCCAGGATCACTCCAGGAGTCAATAGAGCCTGAAATCCGCCGTCGCCAGCACCGTCGCTTTACAAAAGGCGGGGAGCTCAAGCTCCTTCGCCAAGAAACAAGAGGCGAAGTGACAAGGCTGGGTGGCCCACTGGGGCCTCAAGGCCTGAGCCGGGGCCAGGACCCCGGGGGCAGCTGAGGGGCTTTCCTGCCTGGACCCTGGGCTCTGCGACCTCAAAGTCCGCCACTTGGTGGCAGCAGACGCCCAGGCACCCTCGTCCCACACCTGGCTTCAGTCCGCTTGCCTCTGCCTCGGCCCCACTGGGCCCTGGAGGGGCCCACCCTGACGGAAGGGCTGGGGTCTACAGGCATCAGGGTCTGGGCCTTTGCCAGACACCACTCAGGGCTCTGCGACTCCGTGGCAGTTTCTGCCCTGCCCAGCCCCAGCAGTTTTGGGGCCACGCTGGGCACCCCTCCTGCAGGGCTCCCTGGCTGTTCCCACTCCCCACCAGGCCCCTCCCTCTAGAACTCAGCTGTGGGGCCAAGCTCTGAACCCAGGTCACACAAGTGGCCCACGTCCTCCAAGTAGCCCTGGCCTGGAGGCCATGGGTGGATGTTCAGGGCAGGGGTCAGGAGCAGGGCCTGGACTGACAGGGGGGTCCCCACTCGCTGCATGAGTGGTTTTCTTCAGCACACATTTCTGTTCTAGATGCTGGAGACTCCCAGCAGAACAAGACGGAGGCACCAACCCCCAGGCCCTGCAATATGGGTAAGCAAATGGTGATGCAGTCCTGAGCGCTGCCAGGGTCTGGGGAGGCTGCTGCAGGCAGTGTGGTCTCAGGGGGCCCCGTGGGAGGTGCCTGGTGACTGAGCCTGCTCTCAGGCAGAGAAGCCCAGCTGTGGAATCTCCGTGGCTTCACGTCCACCACGTGACAGGTGCCAGCTGACCAAGCACGCCCAAGCACCAGTGTCCAGGGCTCCCTGACAGTCGTGGCTGTCTGGGCTTCAGCTCCACACTTCTAGGTCTCTCCTGGAAGTGTCACCACAGTCTGCAAAGGGCCTTGGAGACTCCAGGACTGGCAGCAGCATCCCAGGACAGGAGAAAGGCCAGGTGCAGTGGCTCACGCCTGGAGTCCCAGGACTTTGGGAGGCCCAGGCAGGCAGATCGCTGGAGCCCAGGAGTTTGAGACCAGCCTGGGCAACATGACCTTGTCTCTATACATAAAAAAATAGCGGGTCATGGTGGCATGTGCTGGTGGGGCTGAGGTGGGAGGATCACCCAGGGAGGTGGAGGCTGCAGTGAGCCAAGACTGTGCCACTGCACTCCAACCTGGATGCAGAATGAGACCCCATCTCAAAAAAAAAAAAAAAAAAAGCCAGGTGTGGTTGCTCATGCCTGCAATCCCAGCACTTTGGGAGGCCAAGGCGGGAGGATCACTTGAGTCCAAGAGTTTGAAACTAGTGTGGTCAACATGGAGAAACCCCCACCCCTCTAAAAATACAAAATTATAGCTGAGCATGGTGGTGCACACCTATAATCCCAGCTACTTGGGTGGTTGAGGCACAAAAATCACTTGAGCCTAGGAGGCGGAGGTTGTGGTGAGCCGACATTGCACCACTGCCCTCCAGCCTGGGTGACACAGCAAGACTCTGTCTCAAAAAACAAAGACAGACAGGAGGAAGGCCCTTGATCACAAGGGTTTGCTCCGGTCTCTGGGCCATGCTGGGCTGTGTTCTTGTCCCTTCCTCTGAGTTCACCCCTCCACTCTCCGCTCTGGCTCCCCACCCGCTGTTGGACCAGGGGTGGTTCTCCATGTGGCCTCACCATCCAGTGCCCTCCTGCCGTGAAACTGCCAGGTTCCGGATGGGCTCCAAGCCTCTGGGACCCTTCTCCTGCCATGCCTGCATCCCTTGGGCAGCACCTGGGGACCTCAGGCCCTGCCCTGTCCTGGAGGAGCATGTGAGGGACCCCTGTGTACAGCTGCTGCTCCAGGACAGGGGCCTTTCTGGCAGGAGGACCCAGCCCCTAGCCCAGGAGGCCAAACTCTAGAGCTTTTCCGGGGTCTTCAGCATCCTTCTGGCCCCTTGCGGCTCCCTGACGCAGGTGCTGCGGCCACTGGGCCCAGGAAGGGCAGAGCGAAGCGGGAGCAGGGAGGGGTCTTGAGTGGCCCTGACGCAGGACTCCTGCGCTGCCGGCTGGTGTGGGCTGCTTGGGAAGCTCTCACTGCAGGTGGCCCAAGGCTAGGAGACCCAGGCCTGTGGAGACCTCAGGTCTGGCTGAGCCTGGCTCCAGCCTACAGCACCGAAGCTGGGGGCCCCCACCCCCTTTGGCCTTAGCCACCCCAGTGGGTCTGATTTACCCTTGGCCACCAGTGCCGTGTGGCAGAAAGCAGGTGACGGTTAGGGTTAGGTTAGCAGGGCCTCTGGGCCTGGTGCTTCGGGGACACAGAGACAGCACAGTGTGTCACACATGTTCTCCTGGGGGCTCTTCCCCTCCGGGTTATCTGCTGCTCTGGATTAATCTCCCCTCCTCCCAGGTCACCACTGGGGAAGGGGTGGCGGAGCAGGCCCCTGTGACCTACAGCTGGGGATAAGTCCACAGAGAAAGGCACTGGGGTTAACTTCTGCTCTGGACACATGGCAGGTGCCTCCGCTTGTCAGGAAGCCTGCCCCCAATGCCCTCCCGCCAGACAGCCTTCCCGACAGCTGCCTGCCAGTCCACAGCCCAGACGGGGACCAGCCACTCAAGACTCTCAAGACAAGTGAGCGCGTTCACCTCCAACAAACACCTTGTCCTGCCCATCTCCAGGTTACCAGCACGACACCGTGGTGCTGCTGGTGCTGCTGGTGGAAGTTTCAACATTGAACTTGATGAAGAGGCTCACTTCTTCCAAGCCATCTGCTGCTGTGGTGACAGGGAGTTTTGCTTTATTGGAAAATAATTTCTGGCTGGCACTGACACATGCAAATTCATGTTTACCAAAGACTGTTTCAGCAGGGGAGTTTGTGCCCCAGGCCGAGCGGAAGAGCTCAAGTGGGTGGGGGCATGGAAGCCGCCTCCCTCCTCCTCCCACACCTGCAGACCCATGGGCTGGGAGGCCCTTACCCTCTGTGGCATAAAAGGACGCATCTGTGGATAATGAATCGGGCCCCAACCCACAGAGCTGGTTTCAGAAGCCAGGTGAGGTCTGCTGGCCGCAGGTAGGGAGCCAGCCCTCTCTCACTCCTTCCACCTTGAAGGAACAAGTGTCCCAGCCACTGGCATCCTCAGAGTCTCTGCTCAGCACTGACACCTGCAAATCAGGTTAACGCAGCGGTGATGGCTGTGAGGCTGCAGGCCCGGGCATTCAGTGGCAGTGCCCCCTCCTAACTGCTTAGCAAGACCTGCGGCCAGCAGGCAGCCTGGGCACACGCTCAAGGCACTGGGCTGCCTCCACCCTACCACGTGGCAAAATGGCACGGCACCCACACAAGGTGCCCTGGCAGTGCTTGCCTGCTGGCTGGCCGGGGCAGCCTTCTGACGCAGCCAGACAGCGGGCTGTGCTCCCCTACACCTGCCAGCCTGGGGGTGCCAGGGAGACACGCCTGCCCAGAGTCAGATGTGGCAGCATTTATAGGGTATGGGAGTGCCAGGCAGACAGGCGGTGTTGAGACCGTTGCCTGGGAAATGTTTCAGGATCCGTGGGGCAGCAGGGCAGGTGCTCGGGCCCACACATGGGGGCGTGGGAGTAGGGGTATGCCTTGCTGCCCGTGGGTACCCACAACCTCCTCATAGCCTCAGTGGTGTGGTCATGGCACAGGCCTGCCCTCACCCTCGAGAGCCAGATAGCCAGGGGCAGCTGAGGAGGGGCCTGGCCCAAGAGAGACAGCGGTCCTGTTTCTGAACCCTCAGCCATGGCCTGTCTCTGAGCCAGCGTCCCCGACCAGAGAGGGCCAGCCGCCCTCTCTTGAGGTCCCCAACACCCCTCAAGCACCCAGAGAACCCACCTCTCCCCCTCATGCCTCCCACAGCCTGTTCTCCATCCTTGAGGCTCAGCCCCCTGCCCTCCTCAGCCCCCACCCCAGGGGTGGGCTTTTATTGGCCCCAGACCCTGCTCTGACATTCCCTGTCCCCTCCTGAGCCCAGCCCAGGCTGCTCGCTCCACCCCACTGTCCTGCTCGAGAGTTGCGCGCACGGATGCTGGCTCGTCTTCCCAGGAGGGCGGTGCTGTGTGCTCTGTTCCCTGGGAAGCCTGGAGGAGTGCTTGGCACCAAGGAGCCAGCCAGGGAGTGGAGACCTCTCGGGACGCCTGTCCTCTGGGGAAAATGAGTCACAGACACCAAGCTGGCAGAGTGCTGAGGGTTGCGTGCTGTCTCCAGAGACTCATGCCCGCCAGTACCTGAGAAGGTGGCCTTGACTGGAAGCGGGGTCTGCGCCCATTAATCAAATCAGCTTGAGGCCACACTGGGTTAGGGCTGGCCTTGGATGCAGCATGATGAGTGTTCCTATGAAAAAAAGGAAAATGGGCCGGGCGCGGTGGCTCACGCCTGTAATCCCAGCACTTTGGGAGGCTGAGGTGGGAGGATCACGTGAGGCCAGGAGTTCGAGACCAGCCTGATTGACATCGTGAAACTCCGTCTTTACAAAAAATCCAAAATTAGCCAGGTGTGGTGGCGTGCACCTGTAATCCCCGCCACTTAGGAGGCTGAAGCAGGAGACTCACTTGGAACCTGGAGATAAAGGATGCAGAGAGCGGAGATTGTGCCGTTGCACTCCAGCCTGGGCAACAAGAGCAAGGCTCCATCTCAGAAAACAGGAAAGGAAAATTTGGACACACAGACACGGGGAGGAGGCTTGGGGCTGGGGGATGGTGCGGCCACAAGCCAAGGAATGCCAGGGGCCCGGGCTGGAAGGGGCTGGAAGGAGCCGCCCCCAACCTTGAGAGGGAGCGCAGCCCTCCCGGCCACTGATTTTGGACTTTGGCGACCTGAGCTGTCAGAGAATAATCGTCATTTTAGGCAGCCCAGTGTCCTGAGGCCCCAGGGAGCTTTCTGGCCGCTGGCCGCAGTGGCCTGATGCCCAGCAGAATCTCCAAACCGGCCCTTTGCCTGCAGCCCAGGTGGGAGCAAGGCACAGCTAGCATCGGGACACGCTAGGATCGGGCCACCAAGACCAGCCCGCCCTCGCTCCCGCCGCCTTCTTCCCCACAGGTTTCTCCATGGTGGGGCAGGCCCTCCGGACACCCCTCCGCAGTCAGCACCCTCCCGAGGCTGCCCTGCCCAGGCCTGGGCACAGCTGCACTGACTGTTCCTGGCTGCCTCACCTGTGCAGGCCGCCCTGCTGCTCCAGCTCAGTCCACACCAGGGTTCTCGCTCTCAGCTTGGCCTGATGCTGACCTGTGCACCTGTCAGGGCAGGTGGGCAGCTCTGGGGCTGGCTGGTACTCGCTGCCTGGGGTGGAGGTGGGCAGCTCCTGGATTTCTCAGAATGACTCCAGGATGCAGCTGCGCCTGAGGCCTGAGCAGAGGGGAGATGCCAGGCTGGGGCCGGGAGCTGGGCGGGTCCTCTCTGAGCTGCCTCAGTTGGAGCCGGGCCTCAGGCCTCAGTGCACCACAGCACTCACTTCCAGGGGCCGGCCTGCGCACCCCACACCCAGCCCTGTGATGGAGGTGCTGTCGCTCGGCCGCACTTACAGATGGGCCACCTGAGGCCTAAGGCATCTGTCCGCTTGTCATGACGGGGCAGCCACGCTGGATGTGAGCTTTCCTACGCTGCCGCCCGGAGATCTCGATTCACTGCAGCCTCCGCCTCCTTGGCTCAAGCAATCCTCAACACCTCTTTATTTTTATGTATTTACTGAGACAGTCTCTCTCTGTTACCTAAGCTGGAGTGTAGTGGCACCATCTCAGCTCACTGCAACCCCCTCCCATGGGGGTCGGGGTCAGGAGTGAAGTAAGTGCCTGGCTCTCCAAGCAACCTGGGGCAGTCCCTCCAGCCTGGGAGACCAGCTCAAATCTGGGCAGCTGGTGACGTCAGCTCCCGCCATCCTGGGTCCCCATGTGCCACCAGGCTGTGAAAGCCTCTTGCTGGCCTCCACAGACCCTCACAGACGGCCCCCCAGCCAACACCCATCGGCTGCACTGCCCATAGTCACCATCTCTGTAGCCTACGTGTGCAGCCAGTGTCCCGCTGGTGTCCCTAGGCCCAGGCGCCTGGCTGCTTGTTCTGCAGCATCGTGAGCCAGGCCTGGGCTGCCTGTGGTCTGCTGGCCTGGCACATTCTAATATTTTTTTTCCTTTTTTTTTAAAAAAAGACAGGGTTTCACCATGTTGGCCAGGCTGGTCTTGAACTCCTGACCTCAGGTGTTCCGCCCGCCTTGGCCTCCCAGAGTGCTGAGATTACAGGTGTGAGCCACCGTGCCAGGCCCCGGCCTGGCACATTCTAAATGGAGGTGCAGGCAGAGGCCGCCTGGGAATCCCCTGCGCCTCCTCAGAGGGATTTGTTCCCTCTGGGACATGCCTTGGGGACGGTCAGTTCCCCCCAATAGGGACCTCCCTTCTCCACATAAGGAAAGCCTTTGGCTGAGGGGTTGGGAGGGCCAGGAAAACGCCTCCAGGCCACGTGGGGCAGGCCTTGGCCATCCGGGTCCCTCCGGGCTTCGGCCTGGACCCCCAACGCCGGTCACAGCTCACAGCCCGCGGCCTGTTCTGGGGCCCCGCCTGCCGCCGAGCGCCCAGGAGCCGGAGAACCCGCAGGACGTCAGCCGGGTGGACTCCCTCCCACTGCCCGGCGCTTTCGGGACTAGCGGGTGACGGACTGCGGGGTCCTGGGGAAATCCGCGCTTAGCTGCAGCCTCAGCCAGCCGCTGCCTGCGGTTTCCCGCGCTGCCAGCTCGCCCGACCTCAGACCCGCGCCAGCTCTCCAGCCTCAGTCCCGCTTCCGGACGCCCCGCCCACGCCCCGCCCCCAGGCCCCGCCCCACCCCGGGCTCCTTCAAGCCCCGCCCCTCTCCCTGGGCGCCCCCCATACCTCGCACCCGCTTCTGCTCCTGGCCCTTCCCATGCCCCGCCCCCAGCTCCACCCTCCTCCCCAGGCACCGCCCACTCCCCGCCCCGCCCGGGCACCACCCACACAACCAAGCCCCGCCCCGCAGGGTCCCGCCCCGCCCCGCCCCCGTCCTTGCGCCCCCCGGGGTCGCTGCGCCCGTGAGCCCCCCAGGCGTGGGCCCATCCCAGCCACCTCGCCGCTCCAATTTCCTGCAGGTCCACGGGCCCAGCCCCACGCGCGCCGCTCGCTCGGCGACCTCCAGGGCGAGCGCGCTTCCGGGGCGGCCGTCCGGGAGGCGCGGGAAGCGCGCAGGTGGCTCCGAGCGTGCGGTCGCCGCCTGCGGACGGCAGAGGACTGGAGCTAGTTTCCAGCGTCGAGCTTGCTTCGTTTCAGCGGGGACTCCACGTGCAAGCCACGAGCGCGTCGCCTCAGCGTTCGCCCTCGTCCCGGGCCGGGCGTCCTGCCGGTGTCCCCGCTGCGCCGCAGGCCTCGATGGCGCGCCCGGAGGCTGGAAGGCTGAGTCGCGCTCCTCCGTGTGCGCAGGAGTCCCTCCGCCACGGTGCCCGGACCGCCAGCGTGGCGCGGGGGACGCGGGAAGGGCACTGGGAGACCTCGGGCCCCGCCCCACCTGTCTGCAGCCTCAGGGCCCGTTGCTTTTCAATCTGACCTGAGAGCCGGGCTCACGGCAGGGGTGGGGACCCCTGCGCTGGGCCCGCAGGTGCCCTGCCAATCAGGGCCCAGGCAGGAGAGGGGCGTCCCTGCATTGGGCGCTGTCATCGCATTCTCATGGCTTGGGCAGCGCCCTTCCCTTTCAACTCGCTTCCCTGTCGTTGCTCACCGACCTGTCTGCAAATGTAGCAAGGGTTGATGTTCCCCTTGAGAAATAAAGTGTGAAGGAGGCATAGAGACTACAGGACTCTCCTGCCTGGGAGACCCTGGCTCTAAGAGTCCGTGACCCCGGGTCCCTGTGTGTCTCCTGCAGCCCCGCACAGCCCCCGTCAGAGGCACCTTTTGGAGGGAGTGGGCCGGGTGTCCCCACCTTTGCCACCAGGCGCCCTGCTCCAGTCTACTTGTGTCCAGCCTGATTTGTGGGCTGATGGGTTGGAAAGCTGTGACAGACGGCCTGGGCCAGGAGTTCTAAAATGAAGTTGTTTAACTCCAGTGAAAGGACAGTTGCAGGCAGCCCGGAAATGGGAAAAGGTCGCTTTGAGCACCCTCCGTGGGGTGAGTGTGATGCTGAGATCGAGGGTCCAGGACCCTTGCCCAGCAGGTGCAGCCAGCTTCTGCCCCGCCTCAGGTCAGTGACCTGCACTGCACCCAGGAGGAAGGGAGACTCTTGCCCAGGGACAAACCCAAACACGGCAAGATCAGGGGAGGAGTGCACCGTTTCCTGTCAAAGTCGACATTTGTGAAAAAAAAAAAAAAAAAAAAAAAAAAAAAAAAAAAAATTGATTGGAAAGAGAGAGGTGCCGTGTTTTGGAATGGAGGTGAGTTGGGGGGCTAGAGAGGGCTAGCCGGTGAGAGACAGGTACGACGATCTGCCTGGCCCCATGGGGCTGGGGCCGCAGGCTCCTGGGCTGCTGGCAGAGCTGGGTCCTGGTGGGGGCAGAGCTGGGCAGGCCCACGTGGCCTGTGCATTCAGGGTGTCTTGTCCCTTTGACCCTCCAGAGGAGGACCATCCCCCCTCCGCCCCCCACCAGCCTTCTCGGGCATGGTCTGATAGATAGCTGGAGCTGGAAGCGGCTGAAGACAGTGAATGTCGGTCTCCTCTTTCCTAGGTGAGAACACTGGGTCCTCAGGGTCAGGGAGCTGCCCCCAGGTGGTCTGGGCGGTTGGAGATGGAGGCAGGAGAAAAGCCGGCCACTCGTGATCCCTGGCCCAGCGCTGTCCTTCCCCGGCGCCCGCCCCACCTCTGCCCCAGCCGGGCCCAGACTCCTACTCTCGCACTGGAAACTCCCTGTTTGGGGGACACGCACTCCGTGGCTGGCAGGCGCTGAAGGGGACTCTGGCAGGAGCACTACCCAGCCAGGCACGTGGCGCCCAGCCCTGCGGGCGCTGACCCCACAGAGGGCCGGGGTTTGTGCTGCAGGAGGCCTCTCTTCAGGGAGAGCTCTGTCCCGGCTCAGTGCGACCGCCCTCCCCCAGCCTGCTGGGCTGGGACCTCATCCCTGCTCCAGCGTCATGGACTTTTCCGGCCTTGGGTTGAGGCCTCAGCAATTCAGGCGGGGCCGTTTTGCTAACAGCCGTGTGTGTGTGTGTGTGTGTGTGTGTGTGTGTGTGTGTGTATGCGCACACGCACGCATGCGTGTAGGCATGTGAGCATGTGTGTGCCTGTGTGCCTGTGTGTGTGCATGTGTGTGTACGTGTGTGCACGTGTGTGTGGTGGTTTCCACCCCAGGGCTGGACTCCAAGGCCCCTCTTGGATACAGGGTGTTTCCTGCAGGGGAAACTGAGGCTTGGGGGGGCTCAGCCCCATGCCTGGGGGGTGTCTCATCCAGTCAGCCTCAGAGCTTTCACTCCTGGGCCTGGGCTTCGTGGGAGTCCAGGGTCTTGACTGCACACAGCCCATGGCCCTGGGTCCCAGGCCCAGCGTGTCCTCTGAGCCCTGCCTCCCTGGAGCGCACGCCCCCCGCCCCCCGCCTTCTGCCTCCTTCTTCCTCTCAACTTTACCCTCTCTCCCTCCCTTCCTCTCTCTGCCCCCTCCTGGCAAGCAGATTGCAATCCAAACTTGTTAACTTCTCCCCTGCAGTTGTCCACAGGCCCTTCCAAGTTAAATATTACTCATGGCGACAAGAGCCCGCTGGGCAGCGCCTGGCCTGGAGGTGGACCTGCCTGTGGAAGGTGCTGGCAGGGGGCATTGCCAGGCCCGCAGTGCCAGGACCCTCCCTGCAGCATCTAGGGGGCAGCTGGTGGCGCAGGTGGCCCCAGCACCCTGAGCCCATACCTGGGTCCCTCCAGCCTCTCACCTCACCCTTTGAAGTCACGAATGTGCCTGTTTATGTAACCTCCGTGCTCGGCCAGAGTGGGCAGGCCTGTGGGCTGCAGGTCCCTAGGCAGGCTTGGGAGGAGCCAGCTGGGGCCCTAGAGGGGCTTGGGCCGGGCCATGCGAGGGCCCTCCCCTCAGCCGCTCACTCCAGCTCCGTGCCAGGCTAGGGGTAGGACTGGGAACAAAATGTTCAGAAAAAAACCAACCTCATCTGTTTTGAATCGATTCCTCTTATCTGGCCCTCAGTTTTCCCAGCAGGGAAGTGGAGGGATGGGGAGTCATGGGCTCAAGCACCTCAGGGAGTCCTCACAGTGTGGGGAGGCACGGAGCGCAGCCCCCACTCACCACACCCAGCAGCTGCTCCACCCTCGCCTGTCAAGAGCCCCCCAGGCCTGGTCCCCCAGGGGAGCAAACCTGGAAGTCAACAGCAAACAGGCACGGTGTCCCCGTGCTGCCCGCGTGCTGCCCACCCTCTGCCACCCCAGCCCTCGCGTCCTGTCGTACCACTCTGTCCTCCACCTGCTGCGTGTGTCCGGCAGGGACCCGAGCACCCTCCTGCCACTGGGCCTTTGCACTGCCGGCCCCGGCCCTGAATGCCCATTCCTCACCCATTTCAGGGCCGCTGAAATGGACCTCAGGGGAAGTCCTCCCACTCAGCACTTCCCGGCTTACCCTGGGCTATTCCTTTTAAGAACATGGACCCCCTGTTCCACAGAGACATTTGGAGATGACTTTTTCTGCTTTCCTAGGAAGCTGCCAGCTCTCTAGATCCAGCGCTCCTTCCGGTGTGTCTG